AAAAGAGAAGCCCCAAACCAAGAACCAAACCAACCCACCCCAACAAAAACCCAGCGACATTCAAGTATTAAAAGCATCTCAGCGAACGGGAGGGGGAAGAAATACACACGGGCTAGGGTTGGCACTTTATCTCTGCAACAGCCTACTGCTTTAGGAAAAGTCAATTCACAATAAATTATAAATATGCTAGCACTAAGAACACAACCTTCCCCTCCCTTATAGCTCTACTAAGGTAGTTTTTAAACTAGAAAACCCCATTCTTCCTCTCCTCTAAAAGTTAGGAATAAGTTGGCAGGGGTTCTTCCGCCCCTTTTTCTCCTAAATAATTTACAATGAGGCTCTGAGAGTGCCCCCCACACACTCTCTCGCCTCCCTCCCCGTCTTTTCTCCTCTTCCAAGTGACCCAGTATAAAACTACCAGATGAGGAGGTTTGCCTGTAAAGATCCTACTAAACTTTCAGGTCAAAGTCACATTATCTGCCATGGCACGATTCAAATAAAAATCCCGCATAATAAAACGAACTAAAAAAAAAGAAAAGGGGGGGAAAAAAAATAAAGGCAAAAAAAGAAACCCAGCGCGGCTGGGAGTTGGGCTGTCATTAACCGACTACCCCGGTATAAAGTTGGCGAGCTGAAAATTATTTGTTGGGTGCAATTAAAGGCAAGCCTTACGAATGTGTCTGTCTTGCAGTAGTTTAATTAAACCGTCTGGTTCCCTGGCCACCTCAACGTGTGAGTGTGAGTGTGTGAGTGCGTGTGTGCGCGCCGGGGTGTTGTGAATGTTATAGAGAATCATTGTCCTTACGTGGATAAAGAAAGACAGCGAGGTTTGGTGGGGGCTTGGGCCGGGGTTGTTTGTGGCCAGTTGTGTTTGCCGTCTTGCTTTCCATGGAGAAAACGCAAGCAGAGAAAGCTGCTGCTCAGACAGGAGCCTGTGTCTATGTTACACTGCAGGGAGAAGAAAAGAGAAAGGGGAAAAAAAAAAAAAATAGAGAAAGAAAACAAGAGAACAGAAACAAAACCCAGCATGTGTCCCCAAAAAGGAGCTGCAGTTTTGGCTAAGTTGCCTCCGATGTGGCAACACTAAGAAGATAAAAAGGAATAATAAGCAACATCTCGCATGCAAAGGTGGAGATGGGAAACGGGGAGGTTTTCCCCTTGCGTTGGGGGGATTTGGCAGCGCTACAG